CTGCATTTGAGGGAAGATTAAGAAGACCAGAGTGCTTTGAGTCATAATGAGCTTTGTTTCTGTGACGTCCCTTCTTACGCAGAGGATGAGAGTCATTTGTTCTCAGAGTCCCAAGAGGCCAACTGAAAAAATTCCAGAGGCCAGCCTGCTTCTGTCTCATCACAAAGGCAAATGCCAACATCTGAGCTCCTCCTGTCCAGCACTGCAGCTTTGTTCAGGATAATCACTGTCAGTTCTTAAGTCAGAGCGTAAGTGTGAGCTATTCTCAGAACACTCAAAATAGCAAATACAAAGTACAAGCAAGCTACACTGGGAACTACTCTGAACACAAAGTAATTATTTGCTTTAAGTAAAGTTTCACTGACAGCTTCATTTATATGGCATGCTTCACAAAGGCATTTAAAATGTAATTTGCATAGTAAAAACCCTATATACTCAAAATATCAAGTGTCACATGAGAGCTTGCATTTGGCAGGATTTTATCAGTATATTTCATAAATTTATTTTGTCCTCATCACTACTTTGTAGGATCACGCACGTGTTGCTATCCTTGTGATACAGGTGGGAAAGCCAAGGCAGGGAGAATGAAGTTCTTGCCCAGGGTCCCCGCTGCAGGGGGTGGGGAGAGCCGGCAGCTCGTCCAACAAAACATGCTGCTTGTTCAGGTTTATATTTTTCTTTGAGACAGAACTATTACAAATGTATTTAAATTTGAAATGTGGAGCACTAAGCATACAAAATAATTTGATTCCCAAAGAGAGAAGATGGAGGTCTGTCGGTTGCCATTAGAGCTCATCAGTTACTTTTCAAATGCTTTTTGCATTTGTCAGAACTCTTCAGGGAGCCAACAGTACATATCCACATCCGTATCCGTATCTGTATCCATATCCGTATCTGTATCATCTGTGTCTATCTGTATGTATATATCTATACCTGTCTATATATAAGGAAATATATTTTGAAACATTGCTTATATGATGATGGAAACTAAGAAGTCTAACATTTTGCATCCTGCAATCTGGAGACCCACAAAGCTGGGGGAGCAGGAAGACTCATGAAAATCTGAACTCCTGAGAACCAGTATTATGGCTTGTGTCTGGATGTCCCCCAAAGCCTCATGCAGTTTTAGACGGGGCTTTTTCAAGGTGGCTAAACCTAGAGAGTGTGATAGATTCCTGATACAGTACTGGGATTAAAGGCAAGTGACGGCTGGATCAGTCTACTGATTGGATTGGTACTGGCCTAACCCTGGTGGACTGGATACAAGGGATGGACAGAAGCTTATCTTCCCTTCTTTCCCCCTTTGCCGTCTTCCCCCGTGACTGTTACCCCTCCGCCATGTGCTACCATGCCTTGGAGCCATTATGGACTGAAAGCTCTACAAAATGTAAGCTCAATAAACCTTTCCCCTCTTAATTTTGGGTGCCAGGTATTTTGTCCCAGCAACAAGGGAAAAGTAACTAAGACAAACAGGAATGCTACTTGGTATTAAAGGGATTAAATCCTACTGTGAAGGCAGAAAAACCAGTGTCCCAGGTCAAGAGTCTGGTAGTAGGAGAGCTTCTCCCTTTCTCTGCTTTCTTGTTCTGTGGACTGGGTGAGGCCCGGCCCTCTTTGGGGTGGTTATCCATCACGAGATTATTCATCTCACTTAAAAAAAAAAAACATAGATTTTCAAAGTGAATGACTTCTTTTCTGTAAGTTGTAATCCATTTCCTTGCCAGCAAGCCAAATGAAATTAATTTATAATTATCCCCTCTAGTAGAGAAAAGAGAAAATGACATGCAACCGAAGGTAATCAGAAACAAACTTTCACTTTAATACGTATTTCTAAATGAACATTGGAAATCTAGTGTATATGTTTATTCTGGAGTTTAGCTCTTCATAAAGCAGCTCTAGTCATCGAATGCTCCCCCGGCAGCCTTCCACAGGCCACCATTGCCTCCTACGTTACACCGTGCCCCTCAGCATCGCACGCACATCTTCCGTGGTCCCACCCCAACTGCTCGTATCGCCTCTGCCTCCCAGGATCCGTGTGTCCACCAGGCCACCCTAGTGTGTTTACTTGTCCTGCTTCCGAAATATCCTGCTTTTTCCCCTTTCCTCAATGTCTATCTGCTATATTCTGCCTCTTCCTTAAGGGTTAAGCTACATATGGTTGTGTATCACTTAATAATAGGGATACATTCTGAGAAGTGAGCCATCAGTTATGAAAGCCATTTCATAACTTTACAAATGTCACAGAGTATACTTGCACAGGCCAGAATGGCTACAATGTCACCAAGGGATATAGTCTTAGGAAACTATTTATGTGATCTGTCCTTGACAAAAACATAGTTAGGAGGTACTGAATATGTCCCTTTTCCCACAAAGCCTTCTCAGGAACTAGAATTCTTTCTGTTTTCTGCTCTTCCTTTGCATATAGCCTACCGTAGCTCACACCATTTCCCGCGTTACAAGTTGGGGTTTCATGCACGTGTTTTCAGCCCTTTGCCAATGTCTTATCTTTTTACCCTCAAGATGACAAGAACAGTGACTGATGTCTGATATCTGGATATCTCGTAAAATAACTTGTGGGATCAAGTTGATAGTAGTTCTCCTACTTTGGAAATTCATTTCAATCAAAATTACAAAAGTGTTGCATAAAAGTCTGACTTTGAAGAAGATAAATTTGTTTTTAATTTGTATACCTTGTAGTCAATGAAAGGCTATGTCTTATAGGCGGAAGTGGAGAGTAGATTGTAGGGAGCAGCTGGGACCTGGACCTTTGCCACTGAGGTTGGCAAAGGAAGATAATGTAGGGGAAACACAAGCTTTATCAGAAACATTGATACTAAGATATTCAACTTTGCAGAAGGGATAATCGAGATGTGGTAAAATCCTGAAAGAAAAAAAATTCCTATCACCAGGATCTCTGGTTACTGGACAAATGAAGTCAGACAGAACAGAACTGCCAAAATGTAAACATGAATTCTCATCCAGCCAGCAGTGCTCACTGATGAATGGACTACAACACACCCAGAGGTGTATAGATCAAAGCCTGTTTCAAGGGGGAGCCAGAGATGGCAGGAAATCACAAAGCCTCAAGAAATAATGTGCTGTAAAGACAAATAAGTATCCACTGTGTTTAAGGCAATAAAGACCATGCAAGTTGAAGCTAAGGAAGGGATCTTAAGATTTGATGTGGTTTTCATTGATGGCTCTGGAAGTACCCATTTGAGCCGTTTGAGTGTAACATTCGAAAGGGAAGCTAGCTTAGCAAACACAGGAGAAGAACAGAGATAGGCATTTTCACCAGCAAACCATGCCACAGGTCCTATAAATTCATAATAAAATCCCAAATAATTCAGAATTTTACTTCTTTTCCACTTAAAGTAGCAAAAGGGCCTCAATTTCTGACAATAGAGGATGAAAGTTCCTCAAATTTTGATATCATAAAATCTGTATAATCTTAATCTTTTGTGGTGCTGGAGACTGAACCCAAGGCTTTTGCACAAAGCTACATTCTTAGCTTTTTTTGTTGTTTTGAGACTGATCTTACCAAACAGCTAATTTTTCCTGGCTGGGCTTGAACTTGGAAATTTTCTTGCCTCAGCCCCCCAGAGTGCTATTAAGTTTATTTCTATGAACTTGATTGACTTGGGAGCCACCCAAGGGGATTAGTGGAAAACACTTTTAGGTGTGTTTGGATGGGTCGCGGCATTTAAGGTGGTCCCTTGCCTCTTCTGTGCTGGCACTATCCCCTTGCTCTGTTTTATAGCTCCCATGAACTAAGCTTTGTCCCTCCACGCCCTTCCACTATGGCTCTGCCCTGGATCCAGCTGACCATGGAATGACTCCCCTTAAAATGTGAGTCAAATTCAACCTTTTCTCCTTTAATTTGTGGGTGCCAGGTATTGCGTTCAGCAATGAGAAAGTGGAGGAACACTTCTGTCTTATAATCCTAATTTTTAAGTGCACTATACTGTAGAATACAAAATAAAGAAAAAGCCTCAGAGATAAAAAAGGAAAAAAGGTAAAAGTATAAACTCTGAGAAGAATAGAGCTAACAACCACTTTTACTATATTTTCTAAGCTCTAGTAGTATTAAACTGGTATCGGTATATAGATTATTTCTATTTTATATAATATATAATATTATATAATATAATAATTATTACATGTTATAGGATGAGGGAATCCAGGGGTAAAGCCTACATTTTACCCAAGATGGAAAGTAACTGAGGTTCTTTTGTGTAATAAACCACCGCCAGACCTAGAGGCCTAAATCAACAATACATTACTCTACAGTCGACTGGCCTCACCCAAAAGATCTTACTTGGGACGTGTCATGGGGCTGCAGCAGATGGAGCTAGGGCTAAATTTATCTATGAAAGCTTGGCTGTCTTCTCGTGAGTGCTCACTCGCATTACTGGCAGTTGATACTAGCTTTTGGCTGGGAGCTCAGCTGGAGTTATCAGCCAAAACATCTTTGTATTACCTCTCCAGGCTCCTTGATCTCTTCACAGAACAGTGGTTGGTTCCCAAGAAGGAATACCTTAAAATGTAGTGCAGGAAATGCAGGCAGAAGCCTTAAGGCTTATTATGACCAGCCATAGAAATCCAAGAATATTGCTTCCACTCTTTGGATTGGCCAAACAAACCACATTCAGGAGAAGAATTAGACCACACTTGATACTGTGGAAAACATGTACTTGCAGGTAGAGAAACAATCAGTGGTGACCATTTGTGGACAAGATCTATTTTATCCCCTGAATAAAGCCAATCTCAGTAGGCTCCTCTCTCAGCAGGACATATGAGAAGCAAACTGATTTGTAGAACGCAGAGCAAAACTCTTTGTCTCTCTTAGTCGAAGGGAGAAAATACCTCTCTTGAAAAATTTTAATCATGAACTAATTGTTAGGGATTTTATGACAAGAATTTGCAATTCCAATCTGGTTTTGTAAAACAAAACCCTCCCTGAGACTCAATCACTGAAAACACAGTCATTGAGATTTCTGAAGCAGGCCCTATTAAATGTTGGGGATCCCCTTCTGTTAGGAATGATGCAAACAGAAAGGAATTTGGAGATGGGGGGAATGAAGGACACAGAATACAGGCACAATTCATCTTCTAACGCCTTACAGCCTTGTTTCTGTTTTCAGTCACAGACAAATAGGAAAACTACACTTTGCCTTCTGCGGATGATCTTTTATGAATACAGCCTTCAATTTATCCTTGAAATTCTCCCCAGCAAAGTAATAGAGAAAAGGATTAACACAACTATTGGCTGCTGCCAAGGCCAGTGTGATAACCACAGCTTTGTGCAGCCCATTTCCACACGAATCCTTGTTCCACGTGATCAGGTGGAGGGTCCTCAGGGTATGATAAGGCAGGAAGCACAGGAGGAAGGTGATCAAGGCGATGATGATGGTGATCAGTGCTTTCCTGTGAGAAGCTCGCAGAGTTGATTCTGGGATCTCCACCTTTAACAGGACGCGAATGACCAGCAGGTAACAGATGCTGAGCGTGAAGAAGGGCAGCAGGAAGCCTACCACCAAGGCGATGTGGTTCATGACCTTCAGCTTACCCACCTTGCGGATGTCTAACTCCAAGCACGTCGTGATGCTGTTCTTCGGTTCAGACCCATGCATTAGAAGCACCGCGGCGGAAGCCATGGTAAAGATCCATATGATCCCACAGAGAATCCAGGCACTTCTGAAGCTGGTGACGTGGAGCAGCCGGAAGGGGTGAACAGTAGCCAGAAAACGCACCACACTCAGCACAGTGAGGAAATAAATGCTCGTGTACATGTTGACATACAAGGAATAAGACATAATTCTGCATGGCACATCCCCAAATATCCAGTTAGAGTTGTTCAAATAGTAGTGAGCCCGGAAGGGCAGAGTGCTTATGAACAGGAGATCTGACATGGCCAGGTTGAGCATAAAAACATTCGCAGATGTGGACTTCTTGTAAGTCTGCAGGAAAACGTAAATTGACAGGCCGTTTCCCAGGGCTCCCCAGACAAATATTACCAGGTATGTGACTGGGTAAAATTCTTTCTTGAAGCTTTCTTGAATCATGCAGTTCCTGCTGCTGCTATTGTTTGGTTCCATGTCTGATACGAAGCTGGACACAAGTTTTCTCTCTATTTAGGGTTAAAAAGAAACAGACACAAAAAGTTATTTTGTACATTTTCTTTTTCCTTCCTATACATGGATTATTTGTCTTTCTAGGTTTTAATGAAATAAGAAATAGTTTTCAAACTTTGAAACTTCAGTTGAAACATGTTGTAAGACTTCATGTTACATATATTCTTAATTTATAAAATGCAGAATATCCAGTAATTGATTTTCCTAAAGCGGGAGTCTCAGACTTAGACCTTTGGCCTTGTGCTCATGTCCCTGAGTACCTTCCCATGACACTATAGCTGTCTCCTGTACAGAAGGTTTCTCATCCGCTATTATGGAGGGCAGAAAGAGATGGCATGATGTGTCTCAAGTCCTGAAGGAAAAGACCTACTTCTCTATATTCAGCAAAAATGTCCCACAATTGTGACTAAGAAACAAAGACTCTTAGTAGATGGAAAACTAAGAATTTTTTTCCAGCAGAGCTACTCTAAAATGGTAACTAAAGAAGTTCCTGAAAAGGAGGGATTGATAGAAGTAGGAAACTTGGAACATCAGAAAAGAAGATTTAAGAAAAACATAAGACTTTCCTTTTATTTATGAGTCTGCTATGTCTGAAAAAAACTATAAAACTGTCTGATATGATTTTAAATGGATTTAGATGAATTATTGGTGTTTGATGCAAAAACTATAAACCTGTGTGGTATGGTTTTGAATGGATACATATTATGTAAAATAACTATATTATATATGAGGAAAGATAGACAAAAGAGAAGTAAAACTTTTTTCAGCTCATTTGATGATGTTAATTGTCATAAGAAATGTTTACATGATGTAATAAGTAGATCATCAACTAAAAAAATACTAAAAGATACACTCAGAACCACTATGGATAAATCAAAATGAAATTATAAAAGAGTTCAGATAACTAATAGGACAGTAGAAAAAAGAAACAGAGAATATAAACAGAAAACAAAAATTAAAATGGCAGACTTATCCTTAATAGTTAATAATTACATTAACTATGAAAGATCCGAACATGACAACTAAAAGATAGTTTGGCTGACTGGAATACCAGTTATACAGTCTGCAAGAAACAACTCAAAAGCAATATTGGCAGGTTAAAAGTAAAAAGATAACATGTCATATGTAAAGTGATGTACTCATTCTGAAAAAAAATTTGCAATTTCTTTAAAAACTAAAAATGAAACTGTAATAATCAAGTAATTGTATCGTAGGCATTTATCCCAGGGAAGTAAAAACTTATTTTCACAAAAACATGTACATGAGTGATTATGCATAACATCCCCAAAATGAAGTAGCTCAGGTATCTTTCAGTGGTTTCACAGGGAAAGACTAAACTACTGGTGTGGGCAACAAGTGGCACAAATCTCCAGGCAATGATGCTATGTGAAAAAACATTACCAGAAAATTACCGATAGGCCTGGGATTTAGCCCAGTGGCACAAGCATCTGCCTGGCAAGTGTGGGATCACGGGTTTGATTCCAAGTACCAAAACCAAACCAAACCAAAACAAAACAAAACCTATGCATGATTCCATTTATATAAAATCCTTGGAATGACAAAATTATAGAAAGGGGGGATGCAGACTGGCAATTTTCAGGAATTAAGCAGCGAGGCTGGAGAGAGGTGGATGTACATAGACCAGGGCAGCTTGGGAAATCTTGGTGGTAACGGAAACGTGATGTATCCTAACTGTGCTATGTCAATATCCTGCTGTGATACCATATCGTAGTTTTGCAAGATAATACCATGAAAAGAAAAGATACTAGAGATTTCTCTATTATTTCTTACAACTGCATGACAATCTATAATTATGTCAAAATAAAAATTTAGGGTTTTAGAAAGGTCTGGGGATGCAGCTCAGTGGTATAGTTTTTACCTAGCATGTGAGGGGCCTGGGTTCACTCTCTAACACTTCAAAAAGAAGGAAGAAGAGAGGGAGGGAGCCAGGAAGGGGGAAGAAGAACAAAAGAAAAAAAGTATGGTTTGTATAGGACACTTTGGATGACTGCGGCATTGCATCTAGAAAGAACTGCTCGATAGTTCCTGTGTTTAGAAGAATGCAGAGATTTCACAAGGTTGTGCTCCTCACACACACCATCCCTCCCCAACATGCCCAGGAAAGACTGAAGAAGGCCCTCAGGACCTTAATGCAAATATAATGAAGACAGTTTGTTCAATGACAAATGTCCAGGGTGCAGAGCGCGATAGAAATTGAATTTCACCAAGATCTACCTGAAGTCCTCGCTGCCTTAAACGACTATCCTCAACTAATGCTGACATCTGAGACTCCTGTCCATGGCCACAGAGAAGTTCACACTGAATTCACCTCTGCTGTTTTGTTGAAAACCTTCAGCAATCAGGTAATTTTCTTTTCCTGAGAATAAATCCTCTGAACTTTTCAGTTATCTGATGAAATTTATAAATATAGTAAATGAAAAAAGTTGTTTTCTAGCCTTTTAACATGTTTTATAGTCTATTTTCTGAGTGTTGTTTTAAGAAGGAAAAAAATTATAATGAAAAGACAAGCAAAGACTGAATCAGTCTGCTATCCCTACTGACCTCCAGGGCCTGAGTTTGCAACAACTTTTCGTCATCCTTTCAAGGACTTCCTCTGGCTTGTCTTTGTCGCTGTGTTTGCCTAAATTTCAGAGACACGAGGTCAGGGAAGTGCCATCTTTATGGACCAATGGAGCTCAACCTAAACCGCTTCTCTTCCAGCCAGTACCTGCTTGTTTCAGAGTTCCTGCAGTGTGCATGTTCATCTCTACAATGGGCCCAGTTTCACCAGGGACAATCCGGAATGGCAGTGGCCACTTTAGGGAACTCTCTGTTGCAAAGATGATTAACTTAAGAGGTACTTCAGAACAAAAAGTGAAGGGAAAAACCCCGGAGACTGTCTTGTTGTGTAAGAGATTCTTGTGTTCAAAGTAGAAGATGCAGTAGCTCCCACCTTTGCACCCGCTCGCTGAGAACTCAGCCCTGGCCTTCTAATTAGGCTAACTGATAAACTGTGAAAAGCTTCGATCAACTTGACTATAATTCTTTGTGTATGAATGTTATTGTGAAATACATTTTTCTATTTATAAACTTTCTTCTCTCTCTTTGCAGAGAGAACATATTGGTTCATCTTCATATTAATTTCATATCGCCTGAGGCAGACTCCTCTCTCTTCCTTTCCCTTTCACTGTTCTGCTTCTTTATTCTCTATTCTTAGGAAATTAATGGCTTCCTTATCAAAAGAAGTCACTGATTTCTTATAGGCACATTCCAGAGAGACCTGGTACAGATAAAAGTCAAAATGTCTGAAAGAAAAAAGAAGTTTTTACACTGTGTTTATTTTGTGGCCACTAAAACTATATTTACCAGTAGCCTTTGTTATTATGAGAACAAAAGGCAATATCTTTAAGCTAAAAGAAGAATAAAAGTTTAGCATGAATTAGAGTAATCAAGCTATTACTATGCTTTGGACCTAAACTGTCTTGATTCATCACAATAGCTATCAACAAAGCACTGTTCCTTCATCCTACAAAAGGAAGGACAATGGTGATGACTAAATTCCTAAATATCCTTTGAATTTCAATTAATTTAGAACCATTGTATGGCTCTTTAGTAATAAAAACATGGTTAAAAAAGAATGCTGACTTTGTTTTCTTCAGTTAATTATGTTTAAGTATCTGTGTGAGGAGAAACATCTTGCACAAAGATTACAACAACTCTATATCAAAAGAGATTCAACCTACAACCCTCCCTCCCCAGGATTCTAGATTTACAAAGCCATTTTTCCCTTTTGACGTGCAAAGTGTGAATAAGCATATTATGGCCTCTGATCCAATTGCACAGGAACTGTCTGAGAGCTAGTGCTGCTTTCAGTCCCTTGTTAGGCCTGGCAGCTACTGCGTGACACTCTTGCTTAAGAGTTATTGCAGCTGCAGGGAGGCTCGTAAAAGCCTTAAGTTAATGGAGCCAATTTGTTCCAGCATCTCTACTAAACAGAATAATTTCCCTGCTTCATTTATTGATAAGGAAGAATGCTTTGGAGTTTTCAGCTAGACATTTAATCTCCTAAGACATTTGTTAATTTTCTTTCCAGCATCACGGTGCATCACTGTAACAGTCAGCCCAGCAGTTCTCCTTTCTCAGCTTTAGAAAAGATGCACATAGTTTTGTACTTCTGCTAGGTAACAGTCCACATATTGCGTGGATCTATAACTTCTTGAATATCATTGATTTGATCTTGCTTATTGTTGATTCATACTAGCAAAGAAATCTAAATGCCAAGTAAGTTATGATATCACAGATGTAAATTTACTCTTGAAAAAAAGCTTTGCCTAGAAATAAAATAAGTTTCAATAGCCAAATTAATTGTGCTTGCCCAGACTTTTTAGTTGACAAAAATAACAGATATTTATACTGATTTAAGGTGTATGAATTTAGTACTTTTTTTAATATATACTGGGAATCAAACTCAGGGCCTTGTACTTGCCAGGCAGGTGCTGTGCTGCTGAGCTATATCCCTGGCCCTATGTGTATGAATTTAGATGAACCAGTGAATTCAAAATAGTTTGGAAATTGTGAACTTTTGACACTATAAAACTCCCTAAAAACAGACAATGAGTTAAGAAACCCTGAGATGACTTACCTAACGAGTGAGTCATAATTAGAGTTTAGCCAAACTGTTTCATAATATTCCCACAATACCAGAAACAAAGTTATTAAATCAACATTGGTGGGATAATTTAAAAGGTACTGCCAAGAATGTGCCAACGCATACTCTGCCCACATCAACCCAACCCCAAATAAAGACATGAAAATAGAACATGGAAAAACCTAAGCCTGCAGTCCCCTGTATGTTTCCTCTAACCGTCTAGGAATATGTTCTGGTGACTATTGTTTATTCCCAGAGTGTAACAAAGCCTTTCTTTGCTGGAGAGCTGCGTCAGTAATAGTTGGGAAAAATGCTTCATTTCGTTTTCTTATTTATGGGAGCCCTAAA